ACGCCACATTTCGTATTTAATCTAGTATCCCCATGGGTGCATTTCTAGTGGCATCTTTGCCGCTTTCTATTAGACTCGATTATAAAGACTGATTATAAAGCATTAGTGGCTTTAATGGCACGCCATAAAAATCTTTCAAAGTGTCGTTTGTAAATACTTCACTGTATGCGAAACTTGCTTGAAAATAGCCAAGCTGGCGGCACTGCCATGGGGCTCGTTAAAAATAGATAGAGTGGGCGTGATCGATGACGCTGGTCCACAAATAGAGACCGAAGCGCAGACCCCTCGAGATTTTTAACAGTTCCAGGCCCTCGAGAGACCAACCCAGTTTGAGCAGCCGGCCAGTGACAGCTATGGCTCTCAAACTGTGTCAAGTGGCACCGCAAAGTGGGTCAATGCAGGCGGGAAAAGTGGGTGGTCATGGTGGTTTGGGTGGTTTGGTTGGTCTGGGTGGTCTGGGGTGGCTCTGAAATAGCAGGCAAGTGACGGGCGCAGGATAAGCACGCTTATGTAAAGCGTTTGTGCAGCTAAAAGGCTTTTTCCGCCTGCTGCCGTATGTGGGATAATTTATTGATTGGCTCAAGATGGGAGATTCTGTAAACTATTTATGGAGCGCTAAGGCATTCAATTGCTATCCTTTTGTCCTTCCAGATGCGCACAATTAGCTTAAAACGACAGCAGGACATGGAGAGCAACAACAACAGCCAGAATTTACAAGCAAACGGATAATCACAATCACCAAGCAGCGAAATTAAATAGCAAAACCGATACTAAACAACCGAACTATTATCGAACTATTTTAACAACTTAAATGTAGCACAACAGAAGCCTTACAAAACCAGAAAACCATTTGTGCTGTGCTTTAATTATAGTCGAAAGATATTTCAACCACCCAGAAAAAAGCCCTGAAAACCGCGTAATTATTACACATTAAATAGTTAAATTAATAATCATTATTCTTCCACTTGCGAGTTTGAAATGTGTACATTTTTAAATCGATATTTAAACTAGTAGCGAATTATTCAAGCATACAAATACAAACTGTTTAACGTTCATTAAAACTTAGCAAAGAGCGTTGTGAGTTTAACAAACAAACAAATTCATTAAACCTTTTACGATCCTCTAAGATAAAACAGAATTGTACGCAATTACTAGATTTTAAATGTAGGATTTTAGCCCAAGCAACATTTTTAAACGAGCTTCAGACACACACTAGCAAAACCTTATCCTTAACCTTAACCACGACGGCAGGATTGTAAGGGTAACAATCAAATGCTTGGCTCGGCGCCAAAAGGTGGGCAGTAGAAGTTGCAGCCCGAAAAAGTAGGCAGTAGAAAATTTATACAAATTTGGCGCCAGCGGTGGAAGAAGGACGAAAACAGCGCCAAGGACTCCGACGACCTTCGCGTGTGCAAGCCTCGTTGCACAATAAAGGACGCCACCAACACTCGCAACACTCGCAACCACCCAGACACACGCACACACATCCACACACCTAGGCACACTCACCTAGACACTCACTCACACACACAGACACACACACACACACAACCGAAGGCACAGGACAATTGCATGGGCGTCCGCCATGACCGGAAGTAAAGTACGGTCACGTCCACGTCCACTGGCCTTTGCATAACAATCAGCCCGCCAAGAAGGTGCGGAGAAAGCGGAAGAAAGCGGGAGAAAGTAGCAGTGAAAGCAGGTGAAAGCAGGAGGAGCAGGAAGAAAAGGACAAGGAGCTGAAGGAGCGAAAATACCGAGCACAGGAGCGCCAATTTCAACCGCCAGCGGCCCGTAAAAATGCAGGAAATGAGCTACCTACAGGATAATTCCAAGGTGGAGGCCCTCACCAAGGCGGTGCTCATATCGATACTGGGCGTGGCCATCGTCCTGTCCAACCTCCTCATAATCGCCACCTATGCCAACTTCAAGGGTACGTTGCACGCATAACCCACGCTTAACACTTTCCACAGGAACATCTCGAACGTGGTTGGGTTTGGCCTAAAACATAATATTTTCATAAGTAACATATGTGTTGAGTATGATTTGTTTTGACCAATTAAGTCCACTGTTTATAGCTAAAATGCATCCATAATTTAAATGTGAAAGTGAACGGAATGAAGTAAAACGGCATCCTCCCCAACATTCAAATGTGTTGTTTTATTGTTGTCTTAATTGCTTTGAAAATTCAAAATCCAAGTTTGCTAAAGAATATTATTTTTTGTTCCTTTTTTGTACCTAAAATTTAATCCTTTAAATGAATTGCTATTGGATACATTTAAAAGCCTTAGGTTACCAAATAGTTATAGTGAATGTCGTACGAATAGACTCGCCCAAATTATTGAATGAACCATTTTAATATTATGGTTTGCATTTGATTTTATTTCGGAATGCCCTACTCTACTTCGTTCCCTAACGACATGTGTGTTCGCAGGACCCACAGAGGTGATCAACTACTACCTCTTGTCCCTGGCCATCGCCGATCTGCTCTGCGGACTGCTGGTGGTGCCCTTTTCCGTCTATCCCGCCCTGACCGGAGAATGGATGTACGGCGACATCGTGTGCCGCTTCACGGGCTACCTGGAGGTCACTCTGTGGGCGGTATCCGTCTACACCTTCATGTGGATATCGGTGGATCGGTATCTGGCGGTGCGGAAACCCCTCAGATATGAAACGGTGCAGACGAAAACGAGGTGAGTGGCCTAGTGACCTATCCAAGATCTCCATTTCTTAGCAAAGTACTATTCCTCACATGATTTTTCTTCGATCTTATGATCTGTATCCTGCAGATGCCAATGCTGGATGGTGTTCACCTGGATATCGGCGGCACTTCTCTGCTGTCCGCCGATCTTGGGCTACTCGATGCCCATCGAGAACAACATGACGCACATCTGCATGCTGGACTGGGGGAACATGGCGGCATACAGCGCCACATTGGCGATATTAGTCTTAGGTCCCAGCCTCATTTCAATCGTACACAACTACGGCTATATCTTTGTAATGATGCGTAAGATTAGGTCCGGCGAGCCGATACACGATAAAGAATATGCAACTGCTCTGGCTGAAAATTTATCAAACCCTAGTCATATGATGTCATTCGCATTAGTCTTTGCATTCTGGGTGTCCTGGCTGCCATGGATTCTGTTGCGTCTGTATGAGGTGGTCACGGGCGATGTTATCCAAAGTACTCTTATCAACTTCGCCGTCGTCTGGATCGGCATATTGAATTCGTTTTGGAAAATTCTGATCATGACCAGTATGTCGCCGCAATTCCGTATCGCTTTGAGAGTATTTTGCTTAACCATTTGTTGTAAGACTAAGGGCCGTTTGCAAGCAGAGCTAATCGGGTTGGACCCAGATGACTAGAGTTAGATTTAGATTTTCATTCTCCTCAAAAAAAATACAATAATTATCCGTAATAATCCCCCTCCCAACCCCATCCTACGTAATCCCTTTGAGAAGAACTACAAAGTCCTGCAAGTAAATAATTGGTTGTAATTGCATTGAGCCATTTCCTTAACTCTCTCTCTCTCTCTCAATATATAAACACTTACTTGCCTGTTTGCCATATAGTTGCATATTTACGGGCCGTTTGGCGCTACGCGACATGCCAATGAAAGCACCACCCACAGCCACAGCCACAGCCACAGAAAAACTAAAATCGCAACCACTAAACCACTCAACCACCATACAGCAACCACACAGAAACACCAAGAACACCAAAACCACAGACACGTTGAAAGACATATTCATATTTCTAGACTTAAGCTAAGCTAAGAGTTTTTAGCGTATCCAATTATGATTGATTCGTTGATTGATTGATTGATTGATTGCATTGAATTGATTGACGATTATTATTGTGTATTTATGAGCTTACCACGTATATACTTGTACTTAACTCTAGCCATATACATATACATATACATGTAGCAGCGATCTAATTATAATTATAATTCGTAGAAAAGAGACAATTCACTAGGCAAGAGCAACATTTCCGTTTCCGGTTTACAATTCGAACTTGCTACAACACAAACAATATACGAAAATCATATGCTACTCAAGCAGCAGGATTATTATCTAACGATTGCATAAGTATAAACCTTTTTCAAAGTCCATATTAAGTAGCATTTAGAATTTTACAAAAAGGAATCGTGTAGAGTTTATTAAACAATTTGCCAAACTTGACGACGGGCCGGAATATGAGAATTCAAAATTCGGAAAATCTTCAATCTTCGCACGCTTTGCGAATGCGCTTTAGAAACGAAAAACCCAGGCCCACTAAACGAATTAAAACACAGCAAATATGTTAAAATCCAAATGCAAATAAGCCCGAAAAGACATTTCCAGTAGTACTTAGCGATACAAAATAAACCTATGATATTGAAAGGATAGGCTAGTGTGAAGTTTCGATCGTTGTTCAAATCGGTAGAAAGATTTATTTTTCGTTTTGGCCGAACCTGAACGCTTCGATTTGGTGGGCTTACCAACAGAGCGTTGCAATTTTGCCTAGTTCCCTTAGTGGGTCAAATTCAGTTTCCCAGGCTCCGCCGATGAAGCATCCAGGGTCCCAAGTCGAGTGTTTGTCGTTGAATATTGTTGATCATTGTGTTGAATTGATGATATCTTAGCCACAAACATGCCAAATGCGAAAATAGCGAACGAATTCGAAGACGAAACATTGTGTATATTTTGTTGTTGTACATTTCTTTGACGATATTTTGTACATTTAGTTATAGTTCGAAACTAATTTACACACCAAAGAGCAAGTGTTATCGATTTTTAAGTATAAGGAAATTGTTAGAGCCGTATAAGCAGATAGCAAGTGGCGTTTCGACAAATATAAACAATGAACGCAGTAAATAAATGCAAAAATGAAGATAATGTACTGTGAGTTTTATGAATTTGAATTTGGCGGTTTTTTAAAACTGCACCCTTTAACACTTGTTGATGTTAGTGTTGGTTAATGTTAACGGACAGTTAACAGCGCTGCTAGAGATGGCAGTTAACATCGTTCGGCATAAAAGTGTGAAATATCGCTTACCGCTACGGTCTCTAGCAGCATGTTTTTCTGAAATCAAAACAAATTAAAACAGGAAATACTTAAAACACTGAAATATGGAAATTAGAAACAACGATCCGGGCGCCGTTCAATATGGCAACTTCTTCAACTATTATCAGTTCAGCTCCGCTACGGAACGCGTGAAGCTGTTACCAGGTGCGGACATTTGGCTACCTGTATTGGACGATGCAGAATCCCAAAGAGATAAACCCTATTTCATCCTGGATGTGGGCTGCAATTGCGGCGTACTCACTCAACTGATGCATAAATACCTTAAGGAGCGTCTAGGGAGATCGGTTAAAGTCCTGGGAGTAGATATAGACCATCGGCTGATTCAACGTGCCACCGAGGAGAATGAATCGCCGGAAGATGTGAGCTACGCCTGCGTGGATGTCCTCGATGATGATGCCTTTGAATCCGTAAAAACATATATGGAGGTGAATAATCTCCAGAAGTTTGATGCCATTTGCTGCTACTCCATTACCATGTGGATTCACTTGAATCATCATGATCAAGGACTGCGCTTCTTTCTGCACAAGCTCTCCAATCTGGCAGAGCTCCTGGTGGTGGAACCACAGCCCTGGAAATGCTATCAGAAAGCAGAGAGACGCCTGAAAAAAGCCGGTGAGATCTTCCCTCTGTTCCTGGAACTCAAGTGGCGATCTGATGTGGATCTGCAGATACAAAAGTACCTGGAGGAGGCTCTAGACCGACGGAAAATATTCGAGTCGGCGCCCACCAAATGGCAGCGAAAGATCTGCTTCTACAGATGATAATTAAGGTGTAAAGGTATATTTCAATGACAAGTTACTTGCTTTTCGATTTAACTATTCAACTGATACGAATGTGTTTTCTAGCCAATAAATTGGAAGACCTTTCAAATGGATGATAACCAAATAAATCTTAAAGTAACGAATGGAAACTAGTCCACGTTCAGCTTTCTAAAAGAACCTTCAACTCCAAAAAGCCCCTCAAAATCGATTGGTTTTCCCGGACGCAGACTCTCATCGGTGCCGAAGTTGGCATTTTCCTGGAAGAAATCGGCGTACTCGTCCAACTTCTTCTCCATAGCGTCAACGATTTCCTGCGTGGTGCCATTCTCGCCGCCGTATTCCACGGGCAGATATTTCAGCGGTATCTGTTCCGTCAACAGCCCCATTTTGTTGCCGTGCACAAACAGGCGAGACTGCATTTTCTTGGACATCATGGGCTTGAACATGTTGAACAACTGCTCGAATCCGGTGATGGTGTTGATGAAATGCTGTGCCTTCAGACGCAGTGGAAGAGCCTCCTCCGAGAACACAGTGAATTTCTTGGCCATCGACGGCGTCATCTGGAACAAGTGCGCGGCAGTAGCACCCTTCATGTCCATTATAAAAACTACTCCATTGACATTGGCGTAGTCATCCTCCAAGATGGCTATCTCCTGCATTGCCTGGGCCACTTGCATGGCCTCCAGCATTGTGTACTTCTCCACTGACACCAATCCCATGCGCCAGATCGCGATGCGTGGTCCATTTTCGTAAAGAGGAGTGGGCAGGTAGATGAGGGCACTGTTTAGGAGAATTTAATTGATAAACTAACGAACTTGGTGGTGGTTGAACTGACAGTCCTTACCCCGTTTGATGGATCTCCCGGAACTTGCTGTCCTTCGTGTTGCTAACAAGGAAATATTCCGGATACTTGGTCTTCAGCGTGTAGTACTTATCTAACTTGGACTTGGCCCGCTCCAGACTGTACTTGCAGCCGCGCAAGAAGGCCACCAGAAACTGGTCATCCATTCGGGGATTTAGATGCGGCTGCTGCTCGATCCATGTCTTGAATGATTGCAGATCGGCCTCGAGACGTTCGGGGTCCTCCTTGAGCTGCTCCTTGGCCAGTTTTTGCAACTCCGGCGTGAGTGGGCGGATTTGCGGTGTCATTTCTAGGTCGTTGTCAGGAGTAAGTAATAGTGAACTGTTCGGCGACTTTTAAGGCACTACCTGCCCAATCTGCGTTCTATTGATGGTCGATTTTACGAAGCTTTATCAATTAATTGATAAGCGTCCGATTGGGGGCCATAAACCAAACAAAGACAAACATTGTCACAAAGACCAAGTACTAAGATAAGCAGCACATTTCATAAGGAATATATCAGTTTAAATTAGCCAAAGATTGGTGAACCCACAAAAGGTTTTAGAATACATAATTAACGAGTTTTATTTGGGTGTTTCATTTCTGGAAGGGGTAGTAGTCCAAGCCGGAGTTGTAGTTGAACTTCTTCTTTTGTTTTTTCTGGGCGGCCGCAATGATCTCCTGCACATCCTTGCGATACGCTGGTGGCAGCATCTCCTCGTGCAGCGTGCAGGGCATCTGCTCGGGCTCCTCCACCTTGAAGATATAGCGCCGTATGATGTCGATATCCCGGCCAAACTCCTCCTTCAAGTCTGCGATCTTCGTGGGCGCCGTATCGAAGGCGATGCTAAAGTGGGTACCTTCCCGGTGAACCACGCCATGTTCGCTGACTTTGTGTGGCAGGGCCCGGGTTCCCAGGTTCTCCAGCTTTCGGATGATGCCTCCTTTGTCCAGGATGGACTCTGCCGTTCGCCTAATCACGGAAATCAGTTCCGGCTGCGGGTGATGCACATTTTTATTTACATTTATGTAACTGCCGGCGGATTTCATGTGCTACTCACGCGGGGCAATTGACGAAGCACCAGTGCTAGTTCGTATGAAGGCATTATGGCTGGTGGATAGTATCGGCTGGTAAGTAGTGGGTTTGTTATATAAACACTCTTTATTTTGAGTTTTAATTCATTAAAGAGTTAGCAAATCTGAAATAATTGTTGACCCACCAGCTGATAGTGTTAACAGCTGTTGCAAGGAATGCACTAAAAATGGCTTAACGCCTGGCGCACATTCCACACTTTACAGCGTCTACATTTTAGTTTAACTTAACAGATGTTCCCAAATGGGTTTAAAACTCCGCTAAATGTTAAAAGTTCAAGATTTATTCCCTTCCGCAGTATGGTCACACTGCATACTATAAAAGAGCTGCATTCTGCAACGGGGACTGGTCATACTGTGTTTAGATGCCGAAGTGAAAGGTCGAGCGGAAAGTTGCGAGCGGATAAAATTGTTTTTTCGCACGCCAAAAAGGAGAAACAAATGCTTGCGTTGTGTGAGTGCGGGTGTTCCAACTGTGTTTGTGTGTGTGTGTGTGCAAATGTCGCCCGAATTATGACGCATACGAAAGTGCAGGCGCTAAATAAAACCCGAAATTGAAAGAAACTGCAACTGCAAAGCAAATGCTGAAAATAAGTTAACGCAAATACAAGAAAACGGTGACAGAAGAAGAAGAGCGTGCGTGCACTCGGCAATTGCGGTTACTTGTGTGCGAGTGTGCGTGTGTGCAAAATTATGTAAATACAACGATATTAGAATTCCAATTGTCCTCTCTCTTTCTGCTTTTCTGAATTATGAAATGCAGTTGCATTGCTCTCTATCTCGCGCTCTCTCTCTCATCTCTCTTTGCGCATCGAAATACCAGTGCATAGAATTTTCTTATTTTGCACCTAAAAACAACTCCCAAAAAAGAGTTTAAACTCTCATTAGCTATAATTTCTTCCACCTCAATTTTTCTACCTGCCGCTGCAACTGACACGTCTGCATTGCCACTCTTTTTTTTTTACATGCTTTCTTACCTGCCCAACCACCGGACAAAAAAACAAAAATGAAATATATCTGACTCGAATTGCTCTCTTTCATAGAAAATTAAACATCGCGTCGCGCAACGCGGAAAAAAAAAAGAAAAACAAACGGAAAATGAAAACGAAAAGGCAGCCATAAAATTAATTAACCTTTGCGGGAAAATATAAAACAAAAACGAATAAAAGTTCTCATCTTTTGTCTCTTCTCCCTCGCTCTGTACCTCTCTCCCTCTCTGTTCATCGTCTGTGGATTACATTTTCTTCTGTGGATTATTATTATTATAACAACAACAACAACGACAAATACAGTGGCAAGCGGATCGAGCAGAAGCAGCAGCAACAACAAACTGGCGGAATCGGAAAACTCAGCGCAAAACTCCAACATGAGTTGGGGCATCGAGCTATGGGTGAGTTCTCACTAGATTTAGAGGGGCTATATCTTGAGATAAGAAGTTCTATAATGAACCAATTTCTCTGTGGATTTAAGAGGTATATGTGTAGTTACAAATCAAAACAAATTCGTACGCTAGTTTAATCAGAATGTAAAGTGCTCACTAGCTTTTATTTTCTTGGATACTAAAGAGGCTTAAGTCTTCAGATAGGAACATATACAAATATAGGTATTTCGCTAACAAAAAACAATTTCTGACAATCTTTAAATACAATATAATTTGAAGTGACCATTAAACCCTTCTTGGTTTGCCAAGCACTTGGTTAATCAAATTATTTCCTCAACTACCAGAAATTAAGCTCGAAATTCCGGTTTTGAAATAAGCTGGCACATTGTTCCTGTCAGAAAACCCTACATTTTCTAATTGGATACCCAATCTGAGTGAACTTAAGCATGTCAATTAATTATTATTTCAATGTCATTGGTTACCCATAGGAAATCCACTCAAATGCTCGAGCAGTGAGAATTTTACAAATTGCTTCCCATAAGCCAAAAGTGCAGGCAAATGTTTTAAGAACGCGCGCTTAGAGCGTCCGTCTCTTTCCACCGCTGCATTGCCGTCTCTTTCCGCCTGCCGACCAAGTTGGAACTCGAAACTTTATAAAAAAAAACTGGTTTTGCGGGTTTTATGTAAATTGCTGCCATATGAGCACGGCCAGCAGCAGCGTGCGCCTCAATCCAATATATGTACACATACGTATATGTATATGTACATATATTTCTCGGATATATCTGCTTTCTTGTTGTTTTTATTTTCCTCATAGTTAGCGTTCTGTTTCGCCGCAGACCCCACATTCCACTTCAAATCCATCGGATTCCCAGTACCGGGTCCCCACATTATTATTATTACTATTATTTTCCTGTTTTTTCCGCTATGTCTATAAGCATTCTCCGCCTCACAGCTGTTTTACTGACGCTTTTTTCATGTTTCGTTTAGGCCGAGGGCGTTGACACGCCCAGCTAAAGCTTACCTGTCCGTCTATACAGGGATTTATACAAAAAAAAAAAATGTAAAAAACAAGAAAACAATTTTTAGCTTGCCTCAGCTGCTTTTTTCCGCCTCTTTGGGTCGATTTAGTTTTTGCTGATTTCAATTCAATTCGGATACTCGAATATCGATGGGTTTCACATGCCTTCCGCCTTTCGGGGGTAGTTTTCCTTCATCAGACAGCAGCCGGCACACCCTCAAAATGTGCGCTGGTCTGTGTGTGTTCGTAGGTGTGTGTGCGCGTGAGTGTGTGTGTGTGAGCGGAAAATTCGCGCCGACTGAAGAGGAGGTGCCCCGATGTCAGGACCAAAATTGCAAGTCTAGACATCGTTTTGCAATCTGTTGGCTGGCACATTGTACACTTTTTTCGCATAGTTTTGCTCTTTTTTAGTTGCAGGGATTTAGCCAAGTCTCTAACGTTAGTTTTGGGCTCTGAAAAGCTTACCAAGTGTTTGTCCACCGGATTTGCATGGAGCTGCAAACAGCTGGAAATGTGGCAGAAACTAATAAAATGCAGCTGGTCGTTAGGAAAGCTATTAAGACAAAATTGCAAATGTAGCTCAGTATTTATTTACTGAATTCAATAAAAGCTGCACAGCAAAACTCAATTGAAACTAAAGTAACTTACAAAACGAAGGCGAACTTTAATATAAACAATCTTTATAAACTTAAAGACAAAACAACACATTCTCATGAAGAGAAATAAACAAATTCTTCTCAGGTTTTATGGTCAATTCAACATTGTTCGAGTTTTTGCTTTATTCTCGACTTCGCGACTTTGTTTAGTGAGTCATGTTAGTCGTAGAAATCCAGTTTCTGGTGCCCCTCCACCGATTTTCCGCCCACCATAACTTTTGCAGACTCAATCGCGAAGCATTGTTCGCTTGGCGAAAATCGGTAGCCAAACGGGCATTATGTTTTAGATGGCCGAAACTGAAACTGTATCTTCCATATTTGCATAATGATTTGCACGCCACACGGAGAAATACTCGATATGCCACTTAACCCAAAGAAAGTGTAACCAGCAAGATTTCGGTTAATTGAATTTGTGCATGGAAAGCGAGGCAATAATATTGTACATTTATAATGCAGAAATCATAGCCTACGCCCGCCACACCCCCCTTTTGTCCAGTTTCTTGGCTAATAACTGCGGCGATCGAGCGCGTGGCTAAGCGGGTCAATTGTGGGGCCAGAAGAAGCCAACAAGCGCCAGTGGTAGTCGGGTAATACGAAAAATGGGAGGGGGGATAAAAAACTTTCTTTGCATTTTTCGAGTGCCCATTTTTTTTTACGTACAAGATTTTCACTTTAATTAAATTTAAAGCATGCGCCGTCCGCTGCGACTCGTTGCTTTGTTGCTTTGCATATGCAAAAAATGCCAAACGTAAAAAGTTGCGCCACCACAGAAACTTGGTTAAGTAAAGTCGCTTTTTGTTAAGTATTTATTTCGACATTAGCATTTGATGGGAATTTCTTTTTTCTTTTTCTTTTTCGGGAAAAAACCCCGCCCACATATCTCCCACCTTTTCCATCCTCTCCCTCGCTCTTTCTCGCTGCCACTTGGATTTTCTTGTGTCTACAGAGTGGGCCTAAAAATAGTTTGTGTTTTTGTAATTTCAAAGTGCGTCGGGTCTAAACAAAGTATATCGAATTAAAGATGGTTTTGGTGCCAGCAATTTCGTACGATTATTTTCAATTTATAATAAGTTTTTAGGAACAGCATTCAGATCTATATTAAATATTTTCAACGAGCTGATCCAGTTCAAGAAGCTTTTCATTCTCACTCAAAGTGCCTTTGTAAGACATTTTCAACATTTATTTATCACAAATCTGGTTTGCAGTGAACTCCATATCCAAGTAACAAATAATAAAGTAGTCACCAGTTATATCTGTAAACATTTCTTAGAATTTCTCAGAATTGTAATGGAGCTGTACCTTTTTCTAATTTATTTGCCTTTAAATATGATTGCTCCATGAATAACTTGTC